TTGGTATAGGCTTGGATCACAGCTAATCACTCGACTCTTCAACCCGGCTGCTACTGCGCATATGAGAAAAGGGGTTTGCAACGGCGACCACACCACAGCTCACCAGCCGTGGGCTTCCAGAGTACTTTCTTTAAGTGTTTGCATTTAACGGTTTTAAGCTGCACTCTCTAGGTACCGGGTTGTGGTCTCGTTTATAGCGCTGCGAATCACAGATAATCACTCGTTAGGTCAAATATCGGGCATATAATTTAGTGTGGCCTTTGCCCACAGATCTCTCGAAAGCTCGAGACTACCATGCCCTCAACAAATTATCGACTGGTAGCTCAACTTATGACAAGAAGTATGATGATTCTGAATAGTGTGGTCTACGAGGCTGCTCGAGTTGATACAAATGCCTCAAGGTGCCGCGCGCTACCTCGTATGGTGCGTGCCTTCTCTCGCTCGTGTGACGCCTCGAGGTGCTCGAGCTGGCTCGTGGCAGCTGATATTACTATGTTTAGAGCTATAAAATTGTATCTTACTATCGCTTGAGGCGAGTAGAAGTGCTTGTCTCCAGCATACTCGCCTTGTAGAACCCCATGCCTTGAGTTCTCTCGAGGCAGAGGCCTCGAGTGTTAATGCGCCCTCGTGAGCTACACTGTCGATGAAATTATTTGTCCGTAAATGGGCCAACAACGTCACAAATTCGGCCCTATTTTTCGGACGAACAGGCTCAGATCTTATTGAGCCAGCCAACGGGCAGTCTAGTTCACAGAATTTTGCAGTATCCCTCACGATTCCTCGTTGTGCGAGCACATCTTGGCACACCCAGACACCCTCCCGCCCATATTCTCCCACTCCCACTTCCACGCTCCGCCACCAAAACCCACCAGATCCACGCCAAGGTAGCCGAGCGGCGAAAAAAAACGCCTGGCGACATACGTAGGGCTAACCATACGCTATCTTGCTATTCGACATTTCTTTATAAACCACCGGATCCCCCACCTCTCTTTCACAAATCATATGCATCAAGGTGCCTTCTCTCCTCCCCTCGTCGGGGAGGAGAGCTCCAACTCCTTCCCCTCCCCACTTTGTGGGGAGGGGAAGTAACTCTTTCTTCCCCCCTCCCCTCGCGGGGAGGGATGTCATTTTCTCCCCTCCCCTCGCGGGGAGGGATGTCATTTTCTCCCCTCCCCTCGCGGGGAGGGATGTCATTTTCTCCCCTCCCCCTCTGTGGGGAGGGGATGTTATTTTCTCCCCTCCCCCTCTGTGGGGAGGGGATGTTATTTTCCCCCCTCCCCCTCTGTGGGGAGGGGATGTTATTTCCCCCCCTCCCCCTCTGTGGGGAGGGATGTTATTTTCCCCCCTCCCCCCTGTGGGGAGGGGATGATAGTTCCCCCTCCCCCCTATGGGGAGGGATGATAGTTCCCCCTCCCCCCTGTGGGGAGGGATGATAGTTCCCCCTCCCCCCTGTGGGGAGGGGATGGTAGTTCCCCCTCCCCCCTGTGGGGAGGGATGGTAGTTCCCCCTCCCCCCTGTGGGGAGGGGATGGTAGTTCCCCCTCCCCCCTGTGGGGAGGGATGATAGTTCCCCCTCCCCCCTATGGGGAGGGATGATAGTTCCCCCTCCCCCTCTGTGGGGAGGGGATGGTAGTTCCCCCTCCCCCCTGTGGGGAGGGTTTTTTTTCTTCTGCCTCTTGCGGGCCCTCACTGCGGTGAGGGCCCGCAAGAGGCGGCGCACTTCACCAGGCCCCCTCCCCTCTTCGCACGAAGAGGGGAGGGGGCCTTTTTTGCGTTAATTCGTTTTGCCTGCCCTCTCCTCTTCGCAAGAAGAGGAGGGGGCTTTTTTGCGTTAGTTCGCTATGCCCGGCTGCCTCGCTGCCCTCTCCTCTTCATAAGAAGAGGAGGGGGCTTTTTTGCGTTAATTTGACACGCCCGCTCCCCGTCTTGCTGCCCTCTCCTCTTCTTATGAAGAGGAGGGGGCTTTTTTGCGTTAGTTCGCTATGCCCGCCTCGTCGCCTCGCTGCCCTCTCCTCTTCGAAAGAAGGGGAGGGGGCTTTTTTGCGTTAATTTGACACGCCCGCTCCCCGTCTTGCTGCCCTCTCCTCTTCTTATGAAGAGGAGGGGGCTTTTTTGCGTTATTTCTTCCGCACCTGTTAGGCTCTGGGTGATACCGAGGGCTTGACAGGAGTGGATGAATACCTGTTTTGAACCAGTGTGGCCATGGGTTGTATTGTGATGTGTATCCTTCCCGACCTTATTTTTTCAATTTGAAGTGCCCAAACTTCTAGGTATATCAGTCTACTAAAGTACTTCCGTGGGTAATAGAAGACGTTCTATCCTATTTTCGGTTTCATAGCTCATCCCATCCTCGTTCTAAACTACAGTCGAATCGCCCTATAAGGGTACCTCTTATAAGGGTAATCACCTTATAAGGGCATGGGTTCTCGGGCTATATAATAGCCTTCGTAGACACAAATTCCCCCTGTCTATAAGGGTACGACTTCGCGCCACTTTTGTACCCTTATAGAGCGATTCGACTATAATAGGAGTTACTAGTTTAATAAAGCCCTGCGCGTTGAAGGCGTTCTTTCTGTCTTGTTGTGCATCGTGGACTACACTATCTGTTCTCTACTTCCCCCGCGCCTATTGAGATACGACCTCCGAGCATAGGAAGACACAGAGCAATAACCGCACCAGTAGGCGAGTTATCTATCAGTATTTTAAAATCAATTCATTCCTTTTGTACCACCTGTTCTGTAGTTGTCTCGAAGTCTCGAAGTCTCTCGTTACCTCGACGTTCAAATGCCAAGCCACGCGAGTGCGCGTTCATGACGCTGGCCCGATCGGTGACGACGAATTCACACCCACCCGCGGTCTTCACCAGCGGCTGCCGTTAATGTTTTGCCTCTTCCCTACATTCGCCAGCTCTGCTGCCGGCTTACTTATGTTTGTGCCATGGTTCCGGAACTCTTTACCTGGTCCTCCCGCCCTGGGAGGAGACGGTGGCCTGGGACCTGGGGCGTGGGTGAGGACGACATCTTCGCGTGAGGGCAAAGCTTTCTGTTTTCAAGATAACGCACCCGTTTCCCACCACCTGTTCCCGTTCGCGTCCCCCTATTCCCTACTAGAGGGCTAGGTATAAGAGTTCTGAAAACATACTAGCTGCGCCAGTCCAGGTGGCTCCCAGCCGCTTATATACTACCCAAGCTCCTTAAACAGCATCGTAGCGTGGTCGAGGGGTAATAGCCTCTACTATGTTGCATGACATCGCCGGTTCAACCCGGGATGGAAGCAGTGATGAGAATGCCCAACATGGTAGCGACGCTCTTGAGGGATGACACTCATCACATAAGTCTTTTGTCCCTCAGTATTTTTTCTTTCTTTTTTGTACTGTTCTGGAAGCCTTAGACCTGGTCCCTCCGGGAGGAAGCGAGAGATGGAAGACGTGGGCGAGAGCGACATGAGGGCTCTAGGTTTTCTATTGTTAAAATAACGTGCCAGCCCCCTTTCCCCCGTGCCCTGCCGGAGTACGAGGTCGAAGATTTCTTGAAATATACTACGCTCCTTTTCCATGTCTCACCCCCGTATCAACTCAGTATCCGTACCAATACACGGAAAGAACCATCTGTTGGCTAAGGGTTGGAAGGACGATCATCTATCGACATCAAGAGCCTGGTCCTATTGGCGAGAAATTACACTAATAGAGGAAAGTGAAACTAGAGTAGCGTTGTTGTTGCTGACCCGCTGCTCACTGCTAACAGATCTTGACTACCACCGGAGAGTGAATAATAAGTCCAGGATAGCGTTTGCTTTCTAATAGCCATTGTCCTCGTAATAGTACTAGTAATCCACATTTACCTCGATTGCCTAGAACGCCCTGAGGCGTTATCTCTCTCATCTCGAGCGGAGTAAGGCATACCGCTTAGAGATAGAGATACCTTGAGCAGCCTCATAGACCCCCCACACGGTAAACGCAACGCGGTATTACCATCATGGCCTTGTTTTGTTACAGACACCACGCTACTCATACTCAACCCTCCCCATCGTTTTCCTCCCATTTAGACATTGCAGTCGGTTCTTCCCACCACTGCGGGCTTGGAACGGAAGCCAGTTCCTTGTGGTGTGAAGCACCTGCCACAACCTGGCCCTATTATCCAGAGACTGGCCGGATGAAGCGGTCGTCAGTCAGACTATACGCGGACTACACGACAGACGTAGCGCCGACTAACCGCTCGTTCTGTAGCTAGGCAGAGGTATTTCGATAACCACGTGCGCCAACGGTCTAGCCAGCTAGTCCAAGATCCGTAGATGAGGCTTCGTCTGTTTTGAGCTCTCGAAGAAACCGCCGAAGAAAGCGGGGGGTGGAGAAGAATTGTGGCTGTCTTGTAATATGCGGAGAGTATTCTGAGCAGGGTCGTTCGTTGTCTGAGGACGTCGTTGTGGTTGGACCCCTTGGCGCACAACCCATCACTCGGCCACCCCAGCCCTCGCTCGCTCGCTGGTAACAACTCGAGCACATGGGGCCATGCCAAACTTCGCCTCGGGGTGGATTCTAGCAAGAACACGCCCCCAGCTGTGCCGCAACACGAGCGTAGGGACTTTTCTATATACTCCGCACTCCGGCGAGAAGAGAGCAAGCTAGAGGTCCATAGATAGACCCACTCTGCGCATGACGCCCGCTGACACAACTCATCCCCGTGCCAGCCGAGTCCAATCATCCGGCACCCACTGCTGGCCGTGGACTCTTGGTATATACAGTGCGAGTGAATATCCGAAGTTCCCCAGCCTTGCCGCTGAGATCCACAATCCCCGGGAACTTCTCACCGGGGCCATCTAAGCTTTCAACCCTGTGTAACACCGCCAAGCCAAGCCTCACACCTGCCCACCGTGGTAGCACAGCCTTACCCGGCCCAGCGAGTGAGCGCCCATGACCCCAACATCACCACAACGCGCTCTCACCTCCCACCTCCCCGAACCCACCGAAAACAGCAAAAACTAAAAAAAAAACACACACACAAAATGTCCGACCACGACCCCTTCCCCAACGTCAAGGACAAGCTCACCGCGCCCACCAAGAAATCCGCCTTCGAAAAGTCCCGCCTGGAGGCCGAAGCCAAGCGCCTGCGCGAAGAAGCCGAGACCGCCGCTGTGCTGAAGGACTTTGTCGCCTCGTTCGACGAGCCCGAGCCGCCCCTGCCGCCGCCCTCTTCTTCGCGCGGCGGCTCTTTCCGGGGCGGCGCGAGGGGGGGTGGGGGTGGGGGTGGGGGTGGGATTGGGATTGGGAGGCGGCACTTCACTGCGCAGCCGCCGCCGGCGGTGCAGAGGAAGCGGAATCTGGAGGCGGCGTTTGAGCGCGATGGAGAGGAGGCGGGGGTGTTTGGCGGCGTGGGGGGATTGGGGGAGAGGGAGAAGAGGAGGCTGCGCGAGGGGAATGTGGGGCTGTTGGCGTTTGAGAATTCGGTGGGCGGTGCGAAGGATGATGATGATGATGATGATAGTGGTGGGTCTTGTGTCCACCCACGGGCTCTGGATATGGTGATATGGTGGGGAGTGCTGATGGAGCTTTATAGATTCCGAGACGTCAAAGCCACACCCGAAACCTACGCTCTCGCTCACGTCGCTGCCGCCCTCCACCACAAAGCCAATCCTGACCGCGCTCTTCGCGTCCACACCGCTGCGCATCGACTCGATCCGCATCATCCCCGCCCCGCCGCCGCCCGGCCCCAGCCAGCCCTCCCCCAGCATACGCAAAGCCGCCTCCGCGCTCATCACGCTCTCCCCCGAGACGCCCAGCTCCGACATCGACGCCGCCGTAACCTCCCTCAACGGGCGCTACCTCGGCACCGGCTTCTGGCTCACCATCAGCCGGCACCTCCCCTCGACCATCAGCACAACCACGCCCCTCCCCCTCCCCACGCCCACCATCGCCCCCTTCAACGCCACGGCCCCCACCCCCTCCACCTCCTCCCACCGCCACCGCCCTCCCCCGCCCCACCGCGGCGGCTTCGCACCCCCGGCAAACTACCGAGCACCCGCATCCACCACCCCGACAACAGCGTCGCTGCAGGTCCATGTAACGCCCCCCAACGACATCCGCCAGCTCCGCCTCATCCACAAGACCCTCGAGTCCCTCATCACCCACGGCCCCGCCTTCGAGGCGCTGCTCATGGCCTCCAACGACGTCCGTAGCGACCCGCGCTTTGCATGGCTGTGGGATGCGCGCTCCCCCGCGGGTGTCTATTACCGCTGGAAGCTGTGGTCGCTGATCACTGGCCAGCACCGCCCGCCCCCCGCTATCGAGGTGTTTGAGCCTACGCCGGCGCTCGCGGCGCTGTGGATACCGCCCAAGAGGGCGCTGCGGTATGAGTTTGCGGGGGCTATGCGCGATGTGAGGGAGGACAGCGACTTTAGCTCCGAGGAGCTCCTGGACGACGAGGAAGATGAGGGCGTGGCGGGTGCGGAGGGGGTGGAGAAGAGGGGGTATCTGGGTGTGCTCGGCAGGGCGAAGCTCGTGCACCTTGTAGCGAGAGTGCCGACGCAGACGATGAAGGTACGGCGCGGAGACGTGGGGCGGGTGATGGCGTTCGCGATGGAGCATGCCGAGGGCGGTATGGGGGAGGAGGTTGTAGACGTGCTAGTAGGCAACGTGTTGCGGCCTCTCGCCTTCACGCGTGCTGCCAAAGGCGAAGATGACGACGAGGAGGAGAAAGATAAGGAGGAGGGGGAGAAGGGAGCAGAGGAGACGCATGCGGCCAAGATCGTGGCGCTGTGGATCATCTCGGACGTGCTCAGCAATAGCTCGCTGGGGATCCGGAATGCCTGGCGGTATCGCCAGCTGTTTGATGTGGCGCTGAGGGAGAGGGGCGTGTTTGCGCATTTGGGGGAGGTGTATAGGACCCCTGGGTGGGGGAGGATGAAGGCGGAGAAGTTTAGGAGGGGCGTGGTGGAGGGGGTGCTGGAGTGGTGGGAGGTATGTGTTTCTCTCTCTCTTTTCCGTTTGGCGTGAATATATATGGGCAGGCAGAACGATGAATGGATATGGATCGATTGATGGATTAATGGAAAAACTGACAACTCATACAGAAATGGTGCATATTCCCGCAAACCACGCAAGACGCCTTCCTCACCTCCTTCCTCACCCCCCCCACCACCAGCACCGCCAGCACCACCCCCTCCACCAACCCCCCCACCACCGCCCCCACCACCTCCTCCCCCGCCCCCACCGCCGCCCCCAAAAGCAAGTGGAAAACCGTCGAGACCACCCCCTCCTCCTTCAACCCGCTCACCGCCGACATGCCCGCCTCCCCCACATCCGACATCGACGGCGAGCCCATGGACGACGACGACGACGACGACGACGTGGACGGCGAGCCCATGCTTGACGACGACGACGACGACAACGACGGCGAGCCCATGCAGGAGGAGGAGGAGGAGGAGGAGGAGGAGGACGACGGCGATAGGGATGTCAAGGAGATGTTTGATGATGGCGCGGCGGTTAAGCCCTCTGCGGGAGGGTTGGGAGCGGTGGGGGGTGGGGTGGGAGGGGCCGTGAGGAAGAGGATGAGGGCTGAGGATATGTTTGCGGATGAAGAGTAGTTGTGGGTTTCTCCTTTTTATGTGGCTTCTTTTTGTGGCTCTTTTTTGTTGTGGTCTCTGTTTTTTTTTTCTTTCTCTTTTTTGTTGTTGCTTCTACGGGAGTTTGGTTTTTAGGTAGTTTGGTAGCTGGCTAGTTTGTAGTTTGTAGCTTGTAATATACGATGTGTGCGAGTGTGGTGTTTTTTTCTTTCTCTTGGATATCTACATGTAGACAGACTGCATAGCTACTAGACACAAGGTATGGCTCGAAAACTCAACCCCACACCGGCACTAGTTTTTGTGAGGACGCAACTTCAAAAGGCTCCTCTAGAAAGTACTTGGTTCTGATAAAATTCAATTGTGCGTATACAACTGTTCGGACAATCTAGCTAGAGGAGCACATCGTTCTTCAATTTTCATTCCATATTGCTGTTTTTAAAGTATCCATTCTGATGCTTCGGGCGTTGCAACCTGACACCTCCGGTGTGTGTGTGGCCTCATGGAAATTTCTCGAGCAGTAACATTGAACATAACAGTGGGCCGTCACAGTGCTACAATTACCACTACAGTAGATTACATGTACTTTCGTTATAAGGCTACCGCCCATAAGGCTATTCGGGCTATTGTCACATTTTCATATCCTTATGTATTACTACTACTTTGCCCATCGCGTGCTTGGTTCAAAAGGCATGCCACATGATCATTACTACGCTATTTAATAAAATACAAAATGATATGCCGCGCCGACCTTGTACTTTTTAATATTCTACCGCGTTTACCCCCACTTCCCCCGTCTAAGAAATTGGCATTCCTTCTGCGACAACCATCTATTCCTCGTCCCCAATCTTAGGGGCGAGGTAGAATCGAACGTAACCACCCTCCATGGCGTATCTACGAAGCAATGTTAGCAATTGACCTCCCAAAGATAGAAGATAGGTAGGTAGGCCATACTCAACCAACAACGGCACCTCATTCGACAGCGACAGCGTCACCGTCGACGACAGCGACGTCGCCTTACAAAAGTTGACCAAATACTTCAACGAGAAGGTCAACGCCACAGGCTCCGTCAGCTCAATCCTAGTGCTCGTCTCCGGCTTCTCCACATTATTATGCTGCCTCAGCGTGACACTGCCATTCCCAATATCGCCCGAGCACGAAAACTTGACGCCCTCCTTCGTCGCCTCAATCGCCACACTCTCGCTCAGCGCCATGAGGTCCCTGCAGATGCGCTGGAACTCTGCCGACGGCATCGTGATGCTGGCAGCATACTCGGTCTCGGGGATGCCGAGGTGCTCCTGGTCGATGTCCATCAGCTTGATGTCGTACTCGCTGATGCGGTCGTTCACGGCGTTCTCGAAGACGAGGTTGAGGGAGTCCGGGGCGTCCTCGGCCTTGAGGGTCAGGATGTCCTCGTTCTGCGCGCAGCGGAGCACCTTGGTGAGGGAGATGAGGTTGATGCCGAGCGCGATGTTGCGGTCGCACCGGTATGGGGAGAAGCCGTCGGATTTGAGGAGCATGGACACGAGGGCGACGTGCGAGTTGTCCATGGCCTGCAGGGCGATGCCGGAGTCGTTGCAGTCGAAGTTGCAGTCCTGCACGAGGTCTTTGATGGCCTCGACGACCTGGGGAGAGGGGGGGTTAGTAGGGTGGTGGTATTTGGGGGTGGATTGAGTGGTGGTACCTTTTTCAGGGTGCTGGCTTGCTCGAGACGTGCTTCCAACATTGTGGGTGTGGATTGGGTTTTGTGTGGGGTGGAAAGATGATGGGGATTGGGATGGGGGATGGGGATTGGGATTGAGATTGGGATGGGGATGGGGATGGTTGTGGTTGTGGGTGGAGGGTGGTGGTGGTGGTGGAGCGGAAGTAATTAGACGACGCGACAAGCTAGGGGGTTAACGCGTCTTGACTCCCGTGGCTGGGCGGGGAGGGTAACCTTGTGGTGTGGGCATGTAGGGCTAGGGTTTTCTGAAAGCCACACACTTCTTACGAGCCCAATCTGCGCTGCATCATACATAATTCAGAGGTCTTCTCGCCAGTACATTGCTGGATGACGAACTGCAGATATGATATACAACTGTAGGTTTTGAGATCATGGGAGCTAGACTTATCGTTGACCTGGCAGGTACATGTACATCTAAACAGTATAGTCTTCATCGGCGTGGTCAGGAACATTTATGATTGGTTGAATAATCTGCATATATACCACAAAGAACTGCTACCGATACCCGGGAAGGGAAGGGAGTTGATATATTAGAAAGGGCAAACGGCAGGTAGTCTTATATATATCAACCTTGAACCATCTCGAGGAGAGTAAAACTACATATATCTTCTTGTGAGCTACATATTAATACATATTTAAAGCCCTTTATTGAGAAGAAAGAACTGATATATATATATATCATTAATTAGACAATTGACTTCGTAGATAGATTGGACAGTATTATTTCACTCTCTCGGGCTTTAGCAAATCTAGGTGGGCAACTTGAGACTAACATTGTATTAGAATTATAGTGAACTCTGGAATCCTATTTACTCACTACATGCATATTGCGGCCGGAGGTCGCACTACACTTGTACGTGATAAGAGAGTGCTATAACTTTTGTTTTCAGAAATTTATGCACAATATTAACCTTATGAAGCAATGGGCCCGCGGTCCTTCTCCCGTGTTTTTTTACATCAATATACCAGTTAATTATCTGTTTTCCGTACGCCTCCTCGACGACCCTTGATCCAATGCCTATTTAAATTTTGCATACCTTAGTGCACCCTATGCCCTTTCAAGTTCCTCTAAATGGTTGGTCCTTCCATTACAAGACGTTGCGGGGAGTAAAAGAAAGGGGAAAACTTACGAGCTTCCAATTGAAAAGCTTTGGAACCCATTGTGGGTTCCTCGTGTGCCGATGGATACGCCGAGTGATGAGCGGTGAGGCTGACTCAACAAGCCCTGGCCCCAGCAACTGGACAAGTATCTCGCTGTATTTAATATTTATAGGAAAACGTGGTGTGAAAATGTTTTCATTGATGCCATGAGTATTTTTTTAAGACATGTAGCTATCAATCAGTTTACAAGTAAAAAATCAAAAAAAAAACCCAGACTTTTTTTTCCCAATCCCACCCATCCTACAACGAATATTAACACCCACCAAATTTTATGCGTGTATGTACTGTACAAAAGCCGCCCCGTAACCCAAGTCTATTTGAAATCCTTATAACTCCATTTCTCCGACACCTTCTTCTGGTGCTTTCTCTGCTGGGTGACTGGGAGTCTAGTTTCCAACACACCACGCTCCCGCAGACTCCTCATGCGATCCCGGAGAAGGTTTCCCTCGGGCTTGAGAGTGCGAAGAGAGTCTGCGAGTTCGTCGGGGAGTTGGAGTTCCAGAGGAGCGCGGGGAAGACTAAGCATGGTTAATAACAACTCTTCTGGATAGTTATCCTCCGAGGGGACGACTTACCCGACTTTTCCAAACTTCCGCCTTCGCATAAGTTTAGGGTTCTTCTCATCATCATCGATATTGAGCCTGGCTGCACGCTTTGCAAGCCTTAGTCTCTCCCTCGCTTCGACGTCCTTAGCGTACTTCTTTACGAGCGAGAACTCCGCTGCCTGTCTCTTAAGTCTCTGCTCCTGCAATCTGATCAGCTCAAGCTCTTTTCTGCGCTTGATCTTGTTCCTTTGCGCCTGTGTTTTCCTGTCTGGCATCTTCTTGACTGGCTTCTCTGTCTCTGTGTCTGAGTCGGTCGAGTAGTCTTCTTCGTCCGAGTCCTCTTCCACATCGGGGATTGCTGCCAACGCCTTGATCCTCTCCGCCTCGGCCTTCTCGGCCAGCCGTTTCCGCTCTAATTCCACCTCCTTTGCCCCCTCTTTCTGCAAAAGCGCATCCCACTGTGCGAACTCCGGGTTATAACTAATCCCGGCCTCAGGCACCCTAACCGCCGGAACTGGTCGTCCCGACACCGCCAGCGACACCGGCGGCTGCTTCAGCGTCTTCGGCTCCTTAAACGGCTGCGGAGCCGGAATGAACGAGAATTCCGTCTCATGCAGCGCTTCCTTCTTCGCCACATCTTGCGAGGCCTCCTCGGCCCACGGGTCGTAGTCAATGGTGATATTCTTTGTACTTGTGAGCTCCCCAGACGCAGCCTCCTGGCCGTACGCAGTGGCCTTCATCCTCTCAATATCCTTGTAGGTGACGGCATTTGCGCGGCGGGCCTTCTTGGCGATGATGCCGTTGGTGGTGTTGAGGCCGGGGCGCTTCCTGATTGCTGGGACGGCGGAGCGCGCGGAGATGATCTCGTCGGCTTTGAGGACTTTGGCGGTTTTGAAGTGGGCTTTGGCGATTGCGGTGTCGCCGGTTGTGTCGAGGGCGAAGAGCTGTTCGTCGGTCTTTTCGACAATTACTCCTCTGTCGGCGGGCACGGGGTTAGCAATGGTTAGGTGGGGGAATTAGGGTGGGTGTAGTAAGTACCCTTGGATTATTTCATCGCGGAGCTGGTCGAGCCCTGCGTTGATTTCGCTGATGTCGACATTCTTTCTCCAGGCTTTTTTGCCTTTCCTTGAGGGTTGTTTGGAGGCCATTTTTTGTGTTGTAGAGGGCGGTGGTGGGGGGTGGTGGTGTCTGCGGTGGAGAGTTGCAGCTCTGGAGGAAAAAGTTGCGAAATCTTGGCGTTGTGCAGCTTGAGTTTGTGGACGCTAAAGCTAGTTGGGTTGGATATGTGCTTGGCATGTGCTACCCTTGTTCTCACGAACATCACTCGATCCTAGTCTGTACCCAGAAGTGAGGTATGCTGGGCGCTTTGATATAGGGAATTCCACTTGTAGCCTCATGCTCGCACGAAATTACTAACTAGTACCATACCTATCAAGGCGACTATGTACCTTCCCCCAGGCAGGTCTCCTATTCCTAGCATCCAGGGAACTACTATTGAAAACCTAGTCGTGGTACCTTCATAACACGCGTACGCACGGAAAACATCGACTGTACGATACGAAAGATACGTCGAGGAAGAAAGACCGAGCAATCGTTAACCTGCATCCGGCGCCTTCGCCGATTCAATGGATTGAGATCAACTGCGAGTTTCAGAGGAGCAGTTAAGACTTCACAGGCTCCGAAGACTATGAGATGATTTGCTTACCTGAGCTGGGTCCGGGTACGTACTTCACTGTGCTCTGGCTATACCTTCCGGCTTATTTCTAGCTAGCCCAGCAATCCCATCATTACATGCATGCACCAGGAAGGGTCACAACGGCCTCATGATTGCACACCTCACCAAAATAATCTGGGGAAACCGTTACCTTGTGTCACCAAAATTCAGGGTCTTTCAACAGCTTTCACAATAAATCCTCACCCGTTTTCCGGGCGCGGAAGAAAAGTCACCGGACAAAGTAAAAGAAAAATCCGGCAAGGACGTACACACGATTCGAGGTATTGACAGGCCGGTTCGCCCGGGTGGAGCCCATCTACGTACCCCATACCATTCATAGAGGCTTACGCTGTCCAGATATACAGCCCGGGGGTATACGTACTGTTATGCTCCGGACCCGGAAGGCTCAACCCTCAACCGCACCCCGGAGGCCCACTTCCATGACAGATCGTTAAAATTATGTGTATACATGTAGTTCAACGGCCAGCAAGCGCATGTCTACATACCCATCAAACCTATCGTGAAAAAATGACTCAAGTATGTTGACCGCCTATTTAGGAGTTTGATATACTTTTAAGACCGCTTTCAAGTAGCGGTCATGGATCATCACTCGATCATGTTTCATCACTCGATTGCCAGAAATGTCCACTCGTGGAACCATAATAATAATAATCATCTCGCTCGCGGAACTAAGACGAAAAAATGAGAAAATTTTAAATAAAGCCCAAAGCCTCCGAACCCCCCAGAAACCCTTCAATACCCGCATACCCATTTGCGCTGCCTTGTCCCACCCCTGGACCACACCTCACGGGGCCTCTTCTTCGTCCCTATCATCATCACTACTTTCACGCAGAGTAAGCACCCGACCTAGCCAAAAACGTTGGGAAGATACTTCTTCGCACCTCTTTTCCTGGTTCGCTTTTGGAGTGAGGAGTTGAGTCATAGATTTTGATTTTGCGAGACGCAACGCTGTTGTTCCGCCCGGGCCTTGAACTAGCATGTCGGCACCATACTCAAGCAATAGCTGGACGACTGGTAGGTGTCCATGTTGTGCCGCAGTGTGTAGGACTGACCAACCATCATTGGTTAGGTCCGAAACATCAGCGCCCTTGTCGAGCAGGAGCTGGACGACTGGCAGGTGTCCCTGGTGTGCCGCGATGTATAAGACTGAAGCACCATTCTTATTTCGGTCCGAGACATCGGCGCCCTTGTCGAGCAGGAGCTGGACGACTGGCAGGTGTCCCTGGTGTGCCGCGATGTATAAGACTGAAGCACCATTCTTATTTCGGTCCGAGACATCGGCGCCCTTGTCGAGCAGGAGCTGGACGACTGGCAGGTGTCCCATTTGTGCCGCGATGTATAAGACTGAAGCACCATTCTTATTTCGGTCCGAGACATCGGCGCCCTTGTCGAGCAGGAGCTGGACGACTGGCAGGTGTCCCATTTCTGCCGCGATGTATAATGGTGAAACACCATTCTTCTTTCGGTCCGAGACATCGGCGCCCTTGTCGAGCAGGAGCTGGACGACTAGCAGGTGTCCCATTTCTGCCGCGATGAATAAGACTGAAGCACCATTCTTATTTCGGTCCGAGACATCGGCGCCCTTGTCGAGCAGGAGCTGGACGACTGGCAGGTGTCCCATTTCTGCCGCGATGTATAATGGTGAAAAACCATCATTATCTCGGTCCGAGACATCGGCGCCCTTGTCGAGCAGGAGCTGGACGACTGGCAGGTGTCCCATTTCTGCCGCGATGTATAATGGTGAAAAACCATCATTATCTCGGTCCGAGACATCGGCGCCCTTGTCGAGCAGGAGCTGGACGACTGGCAGGTGTCCCATTTCTGCCGCGATGTATAATGGTGAAACACCATTCTTCTTTCGGTCCGAGACATCGGCGCCCTTGTCGAGCAGGAGCTGGACGACTAGCAGGTGTCCCATTTCTGCCGCGATGTATAAGACTGAAGCACCATTCTTATTTCGGTCCGAGACATCGGCGCCCTTGTCGAGCAGGAGCTGGACGACTGGCAGGTGTCCCATTTGTGCCGCGATGTATAAGACTGAAGCACCATCATTCATTCGGTCCGAGACATCGGCGCCCTTGTCGAGCAGGAGCTGGACGACTGGCAGGTGTCCATTTTGTGCCGCGATGTATAAGACTGAAGCACCATTCTTCTTTCGGTCCGAGACATCGGCGCCCTTGTCGAGCAGGAGCTGGACGACTGGCAGGTGTCCCATTTGTGCCGCGATGTATAAGACTGAAGCACCATTCTTCATTCGGTCCGAGACATCGGCGCCCTTGTCGAGCAGGAGCTGGACGACTGGCAGGTGTCCCATTTGTGCCGCGATGTATAAGACTGAAGCACCATTCTTATTTCGGTCCGAGACATCGGCGCCCTTGTCGAGCAGGAGCTGGACGACTGGCAGGTGTCCATTGTGTGCTGCAAGATGTAGTGCTGTCCAGCCATCTTCTTCTTGAGCTGATATTTCCACACCATGATTGTTGATGAGGAGTTGTACGATTTCACAGTACCCTTCACATGCCGCATGGTGCAATGCTGTCCAACCATATTGATCTTGAGCCCCAGCATTGGCTCCATTGTCGAGTAGTATTTGGGCAATTGGTAGATGACCATTTCTTACTCCTTCAATTAGGGGTGTCCGTTGATCGTTCAATGTTTGGGTTGAAATCTCCGCGCCAACATCGAGCAATAGCTGGGTAATCAGTGTGCTTCCGGTGTGCACTGAGAAGTATAGAGGAGTACGTCCTAATCTGTCTGATTTTAGAACCTCTGCTCCGTCATCGATCAAAATCTTAACGGAGCCGTGATGTCCGATGCGGCATGCTATGCACAAAGCCTCCCACTTTTCCAATTCTTCGATGATTTGTATCTCCCTGTTTTCCAAAAAGCTAACGATATTTAGATTATTGCACGCCCTCAAGAATGATAAAACATTACCAGTTCTCTTCAAAAACTTCATAACTATTTCCGTTAATTCATCATTCTCACGAATTCCAACATGGAAAGATATATGTGAAGCAACATAGTGAAGAAAAGGATGTGACTCAAGGCGTGCGAGGGTAGTCTCTTCTGTTTTTGGAGGAACCTCAAAGATTTTGAACAACAGATATGTAACGCATAACTCTGCTAGTTTAGACTCCGTATCACCAGGAATGATATCGTTGTTTAAAATATACTCTTGAACAGTATAGTGAACAAATTTGATTGTTTTAGACTCCTTGTCTATCATGACCAAACCAGCACATACGTCGAGAAGTGTTTCGTCCGCTGGGAGGTCAAGCTCGTCTAGTTGATATTTTCCTGGTTCGAGACGTGCCGCAGTCCGGATTTCGTCAACTGTCATAGGGCGTCTAGCTTTTAGAAGCCATGAAAGAATGTTGATTGCTAAGGCTCTGGGGCTCTTGGATTGCTTTTTGAGGGTTTCTATAGCTCTATTATAAGTAGGATCCAGGGGTCTATCATCCGTAGAACTACTCTTGAGTCCGTCGAGCGCTTCGAGGATCTCATTTGGGGTCGTTTGTTCGCAAATGTACTTTACATGGAAATGAACGAGCAAAAACCTGGGTACATATTAAAATTTAGTACATATAGAAGAGTTCCAGACCTCATAGGTTAGAGCCTTTATAGATACACGTACATTCCCTTAGCGCAGTCCACAAGTTCGGAAATGATTTTTTCCCGACAATCTCCAAGTTCGACGAGCCGCTTTGCTCGAGGGTTCTCATCGATCTTTTCCCCGATATATTTGACAATGTCCTCTTCCTTCGCGAGGATTTCTAACTTTACGGTGTTGTGCCCAAACAACGCCTGAATGTCTTCTGGGTAAGGCCTACTGGTAACAAGCACATTTACGTTTTTCATTGACATACGCTGAATTAGTGGAAGAATCTCTTTGCGCTGATCGGACTCGTCCAGTGCATCGAAGATAAGAAAGACACGATTAAAGGATGTGAAGATTATGAGGAGAATAGTAAATAGCTCCTCGGTCGTAGGCCTTCTATCTTTGGATTCTTTCTTTTTATATAATTCCTCAAGTTCTTTGAGCGGGAATGGCAATTGGTAAGCAAGCTGTTTCACCAAGCTGGAGAGAACATCGACAGCTTTCTGTTGTTCCTGGTCTTTGTAATCAAAGTATATATGGGCGACTCCGTTTTCTGGCGTCGGAAATAGATCTTCGTTTTCGACATGGTCGATTACAGCAGAGCTAGACTCAATACCTCGGATTAGCGAAACCATACACTGAACTGTATAAACACGAAGGCATTATATATACCTCAAAAACGTCTTTCCGGAACCAGCTGTTATAAAAATCGTCAGTGCCAATAATCAGCTCTCTATTCACCAACTTACGAATACCGTGTCCCCAAACAATTGGTGAATCTGGATCAGTAATCCAGTTTTGAACCCCCGGAGTCTGTAAAAACCATTTTCCGGTCCCTTTTCGCCTTCTCTTTGTGATATCAGTGTGTTTTTTACTAGTAGATCCCGCGAAAACCCAATGAAGGATCTTCTTCCATCTCTCCTCTGGCGACCCATTAGCTTCGGTAGGAATTTATCCAAAAATTTTGTAGCCATGAGTTTTACCTGAATGGCCTTTCATTGCGTTTATTCTATCGACATGTTGTTCCTGAGCGATATGCTGAACACGTGCCTCGACGTTTCTTGCAATGGATCTATGCCGAGAATTAGTCTATTAATTAAACCTTTTAACTACAGTACAATCTCGCTATAAGGATATGGAAATGTGACAATTTTGCATCCAAAAATATCCTTATAGGCGATTTATCCTTATAAGAAGTGCCCAGCTCACCCACGTCACAATCCCTGTCGGGACCAAAGTTAAATCATACATATATCCTTATAGGCCGAATATCCTTATAGAAAATATCCTTATAACGAGATTGTACTGTAGAATAACTCACATATTCTCCACGGCCAAGCCAAGACTGAATGTTTTCTTATAACTCTGAATTTGGGATATGATATCCGCAATATCCTTTTTGTTGAATGCTTGTTTAAGTCTTCTCCACATCTTGTCCAGCTTTGATACCTTCTGAGCCGTGTAAAGCATTGCCTGTAATTTCTCTAGCAACTTAGAACAATTCTTTAGATTTTCTTCCAGATTCTGTATTGCTGTCGATTGTTTGTTTTCTTCCCCATATGTTTTCATTTGATTGAGGATTTCTCCAAGAGATTGGATCTCAGCCGCAAGCTTCCTGGTAGTTTCAGGCGAATTTTTTATATCGCCATAAAAGTTATAAATCGCAATAAAAGCCTGACCAGCAGCTTGCGTGGCCTGCACAATAGCGATAATACTCGCCGCAAAGGATAAAGGTTCAGCCATAAGGTACAGAAAAGAATCTGAAATGAAGGAGGTTAAGTCAAAGCTGAGGAGAGGTAGGAACACAGCTGGAGAAATTGAAAGCGGGGGTGGCCCATTTTTGCCTGTCTGGGCTGTGAAGCGAATCTAACAGCAAATCAAATGCGCAGCATCGATATGCGCTACTCGGAACTCTGGAGCGAATTATCCGTTGGTCACACAAGATCGCAAGTTCGATAGCCCCATGCATATGTTAATTCGTTCCGTCTTGTTAGAATAATAACCTAGTTCGATGGGTTGAAAAATAGTCGGCCAAATAGGATAGATATTTCGGGCGAGGCAGCAGCAAATAATAAATACGAAGAGGAAGCGTTTCTCAAGTATAAGAGAGAACAGCAGCAACCAAAACCCTAGCGATTCATCGATCCAGTAATAACATTTACTCTACCAGTTTTATCTATATGATCCTTATTCTTTATTTCCCTCCAACTTCGACCAACGTCAGTTTTATCTTTCTCTTTCCCGTCTTCTCCTCTTTATCATCTGTTACCTCCACCACAACTTTATCAAACAGCCCTACACTCCACTTCTCGCCACTTTCACCGATAGTCAATACATAGGCCTCCGCATCAAACTCTGTCTCCGGCTCTACCCCTCCCTGCGACAACTCCCGTGTCCTGATCATCCCTTCGATACCAAACCTGGGTACAAACACAACAAAACCGTTGGAGAAGATCTTCATGATGAATCCTTCCTCTTTAGTAACACGCCCCTTGAGCGCCTGCCCCACATAGTACTCTACAGATGCGCGTCCTGCAAATTGTGCGTTCCGGTGACGGACATTGATATTCTTGCAGATAGCCTCGAGCTTCGCCTTGCTATGGAGAGAGTTGTCAAGTTGTTCATAGGCTATCGCAGCAGCGAGTTGACGGTGGGCCACTACATCTGCATAACGTCGGATGGGAGATGTGAAGTGAGTGTAGATCTCAGAAGCCAGTCCATAATGCTTGAATTCTGGGTACGCCTGAGTCCCAGAACAGAAATATTCTGCAGAAAGCATACATCTTGTTGCGAGGATACGAACGAGAGTGTTAAAAAATGGTTCACTGGGATCGACACATTCGTCAAGTGAATCCGCGACCGCCTTTGAAGAGTCGACGCGCAGGGTAAGACCCTTTCGGACTCGGAGCTGAGTTTGCAACTCCTCAAAGTTGGTTGCTGGAGGAGCCCCGTGACGCCGCAGCATGGCCGTCTGGGGAAAAGCCTCGTAAATTTTGCTTGCGACACTAGTGTTGGCGAGCAACATAAACTCTTCGACCAGAGAGTTCGTCTCTAGTAATTTCTTTGTCTTCACATCGATCGGATCACTCGTCTCACTCTCGGCCTCAACCTTAACCTCGGGACTCGCAAGGTTCAGTGCACCGGCGTCCATACGCTTTTGCCTAAGCTTCTTGGAGAGTTTAAGGAGTGCCCTCATTCCGTTAGTGAGCTCATCTTGCTGTGATTCATCATCAATTCGCAACTGCGCATGCTCATAACTGAACGCCTCTCGCGACTTGATGACTGACTTCGTAAAATCAACAGAGATAATCTCGGCATCCGGTGTCATTTCCCAGATTGTTGAAAATGCGTAACGTTCCACATATGGCTTCAGCGAACATAAGTCTGTTCCGAGTAACATGGGCAACATGTCGATACGTTTATCGACAAGGTAAACTGTGGTTCCTCTGGCTGTAGCTTCATCATCCATTGGGTTGTTGGGCTTAACAAAATGTGTGACATCGGCGATATGCACGCCGACCTCATAGTTTCCATTGGGAAGTAGTTTTGCGTGGAGTGCGTCGTCGATGTCTTGACAGCCAGGAGGATCGATACTGCATACAAGTAAACCCCTGTAATCTTTTCTCCCGATCCATCCTGGGTGGTTGGGATCTTGAGGGACCTTCCAGTCATGACCTTCCTTGGGGAGACAGTCTAGGACTGCCTTCGGGAATGGTCTATATTGGACATCGTACTCGAGCAGCAATGCTTCAGTCTCCGCCTCTTTAGTCTCGAGTTCACCAAGTGAACGGACGAAGTGACCGACAGGGTACCGCGATGTTCTATCCCATGAATCTATTGCTACAACAATCCTCTTACCCAGAAGTTCAGAGGCTTGGCGGGTTCGGATTCTAATTTTTGGGATACGTTTATCCATAGGTATTAAGAAAACGGTCTGCTGGCTACGGCCGCGAGAGGCGGAGGCGGAAGAAGGGTCAACATGACCAACGTAACTATCAGAATAAATGTTAACAAACATTATTTCCTATGCAACTTGGATAGGAACACATACTATCTCCAATTCCTCTTTGCGATACCCACAACCCTCGCTGTAGGCTGCGGCTTTCCTTCGGCACTCCCTCCAAGTGTCTTCTTGACCTCTTCGACCAGTGCCTTCCGCTCCTGCTCGGTCTCGATTACCTCAGGCGCATCTACGTCCGGGTTGTCGTTTTTCGTCAGGCTTTCCTCCTCCACGATTTTTGTACTCGGCTGCTTCCACTGTTCTTTTGGCAGGATCTCTACAACAACAACGTCACCCGATACGCTTCGGTTTATATTCTCTCTACCCAAAATGAGCAGAGCCTTGTCGAAAGCCGGTACATGAACACTTCCCTCAAGAAAGTTGTATGGGGATACATTGAAAACTCCTTGATGCAGCGTTCCCGCCTTAACACCGGTTTGCATTTTAGACATTGTGAAGTATTCAGGATACAGCATTTCCGCCTTGGAAGCCTTAGCATGGGCGTCTTCCGCAGCCGCAGAAATCATATCAAGGAGCTCATCGGCGTTCTTGAGACCTCGGACATAATCCCTTACTATACAACGTCAGTCGCCAAAACAGACGCATATATCACTAGACAAACTCAACATACTAGAAGCGCACTCGATCCCTTCCTCCTTCGCCTTCGCCAGGTTCCCTTTATCGTCGCTCACCATGATAATTTCCGGGCATTTACTCTTCGTTCCTGAAACTGCATCCATTAAGTGTTCTTTATACCACGCACAAGCCCTCCTCACGGCACGATCGTTCCGGTCGTTGATTGTCTCGCCCTCCAAGCGCTTCACAAATGTCTCCAATCGGAAGTCATTGTGAAAGACGTAGAATCGTTTCTCCTGCGAGCTGACTAGGGACCGTAGCCGATTATACAAAGGCAATGACCGGTTTCTGAGCTCGTCAAGCACGGTTTGGAGCACAATTACATCGTAGAAAGCGCTTTTGTGCTCTATGATGTCCATACAATAGAGGAATATGTTCGTATCGGGGACTATATAGTGCCCTTTCGTGAATATACTATTCGCAGCCGGCGTGGCTGAGAGAACGAATGGTCTCACACGGCCATTGGAGTCGGCGGGCGCATCGGCGCTGCACGGGAAACATAGCTGTGAGGAACAAGGTATGTCCTGCCTGAGATAGAGCTCACGGACGACCTTTGTGCATTTGCCCTTGCTTGATCTGAGAAAGATCTTTGAGGAGATATTAGATCTATTTGCCGAATCAGCGGATGATCTCTTCAGGGACGTCATTTCCAGTGGTCTGCGTGTTGTGGTGAATGTGGTAGATTATTTTGTTCAGCCAAGTCATTCAACGCGCTAGAAGTGGGATGTGGCTGTGCGCGCCATAAGAGCCGCATCATTCAAGTGGCGTAGCGACGGGGTTTTTGCGCAAAAAAGTCCTAAACCGTTGCGAAAAATTGATAGCTTCAATTTGCAGCAGCTTGGGTTCTCTTCCTTCAGCGCATTCTTCACACGATGGTCAAGTCATATCTGTGCGCACACCCCCACGGCTCCAATTGCTCTCCATTGCTCCACTAACACAATATTCTACAATACAGGCGATTCGAGCATCTCCGAACCTTCGGTATCGTCGCCTCGGGCACTGCGAATGCCATATGGACCCCCGAGAGTAGCACCACATCGCGCACCAATGCCGGTCGCGCCGTAGTTCCGGCGAACGAAGAAGTTCTCACCTGGGATATCAAGAAGGGCGAGCTCATCTCCCGGTGGAGTGACCCCAAATGCAAATCCGAAGTCTCGGCCATCATCCAGTCCCAAACCGACAACGACATCTTCGCAGTGGGCTACAACGATGGATCAATCCGATTATGGGATACCAAAACCTCTACAGTAATAATCAGCTTCAATGGGCATCGCTCGGCAGTTTCGACCCTATGCTTCGACCACTCTGGCACCCGTCTTGCGAGCGGTAGTAAGGATGCCAACATCATCGTATGGGATCTGATCTCTGAAGTTGGGCTATACAGACTACGGGGACACAAAGACCAGATCACAAAGGTTGTGTTCCTGCGTGGTCCCGGGATTGAAGACGGCGCAATAGGTGCGAATGATGCGGGCTGGTTGGTCAGTACTGGCAAAGACACACTGATAAAACTTTGGGACCTTTCAACCCAGCACTGCATGGAGACCCACGTTGCGCACCATGGAGAATGTTGGACAATGGCAGTATCCCCGGATGAACGAGGTTGTATCACAGCAGGAAACGACGGAGAACTCAAGGTATGGGGGATTGACACATCTAGCCTTGCATCACGGTCGAAGGGCGACACAGATTGCTTGATACCTCGCGGGACTTTATATAGATCCACTAAAGACCGCGCCACAATGGTGACTTTTCACCCCACATCCAACTTCGTAGCAAGCCACGGCTCCGACAAGAGTGTCGAGATCTGGCGGATAAGAACGGAAGACGAGGTCAAAAAGGCGCTAAAGCGCAAGAGAAAGCGGAAGGAAGAAAAGGCGGCGAAGGGTGCAAAACCCAAGCTCGAAGAACCCATAGAAGAAGAACCCGAATCATTGGCATCTGCCGAGGTCAGCGATGTTTTCGTCCCCTACGTCACACTCCGAACTGGCGGCAAGGTCCGTTCAGTAGATTGGGCCACCCGGGGAGGAAGCAAAGCATCTGAGGCTGTAAAGCTCCTTGTGGCCTGCACAAACAACACCCTCGAATTCTACGATATTCCCAAGCC